GTAGCCCATTATGTACAGAGAAATAAGACTATGTCTTTTCTGCATCATATTCAAAGGTAGACTCCAGATACATTAAATACCTAAATATGGAAGATAAAGCCAAAAGGTTAATAGAAGAAAATGAAAAATATTTTTGTGACCTGGGTTTGGGAAAGAATTTCTTAAAACCTCAAAGCACAAACCAAATATATATATTAATATAATCGCCTCAAAATAGGGAGTTCTGTTTAACAAAAGGGGCTCCATCACCCTGTGGGCAAAATTAATACAAATTAATTTTGTATTTTTTAGTTTGACAAAATGAGCGACAATACTTTAAGTTGTTTTTTTTTTTTTTTCAGCATATCATGGGGTACAAATGTTTAGGTTACATATAGTGCCCTTGCTCCACCCCCCCCACCAGAGCTTCAAGTGTGTCCATCCCCCAGACAGTGCGAGTCACACTCATTATGTATGTATATACCCATCCCCTCCTCCCCTTCCCATCTGCCCAACACTCCATAAATGTTATCCCTCTATGTGCACTTAGATGTTGATCAGTGAAACCAATTTGCTGGTGAGTACATGTGGTGCTTGTTTTTCCAATTCTTAGGATAGCTTCACTTAGTAGAATGGGTTCCACGCTCTAAGCCAGGAAAATACAAAGAGGGTGCTATATACCATTGTTTCTTAAAGGCTGAATAAGTACTCCATGGTATCACAGGTATAACCACATTTTATTAATCCTACTCATGTATTGAGGGCACCTTGGGTGTTTCCACATCTTTGCAATTGTGAAATATGCTACCATAAACATTCAAGTGGAGATGTCTTTTTTATAGAATGTCTTTTGTTTCTTTAGGGTAGATGCCCAGTATGGGATTGCTGGATCAAAAGGGTAAGATCTACTTGATCTTTCTTTAAGGTATCTTCCATATTGCTTTCCCACGGAGGTTACAAGAGGTTTGCAATCCAACCAGCCAATGTAGGAGTGTTCCTATCTCTCTGCATTCATGCCAACATTTTATTGTTTTGGGACTTTTTTTTTAAATTTCAGCATATTATGGGGGTACAAATGTTAAGGTTACGTATATTGCCTATGACTCCCACCCCCCTTGAGTCAGAGCTTCAAGCGTGCCATCCCCCAAACATTGCACATCTCAACTCTTCAATGTTGTATGTACCCACCCCTTCCTCTCCCCCCCCCCACCCAACCCGATTAAGTGTATTCCATATATATGTCACTTAGGTGTTAATACCAATTTGCTGGTGAGTATATGTGGTGCTTGTTTTTCCATTCTTGAGATACTTCACTTAGTAGAATGGGTTCCAGCTCTAGGCAGGAAAATACAAGAGGTGCTATATCACATTGTTTCTTAAAAGCTGGATAGTACTCCCATGGATTATACAAATATACCACATTTATTTAATCCCACTCATAGTTGATGGGCACTTGGGTTGTTTCACAACACTTTGCCATTGTGAACTGTGCTGCTATTAAACATTCAAGTGCAGGGTGTCTTTTTTGTAGAGTGTCATTTGATCTTTTGGGTAGATGCCCAGTAGTGGAATTGCTGGATCAAATGGTAGATCTACTTGTATCGCTTTACGCTATCTCTGTATTGCGTCTTCCACAGAGGTTGCACTAGTTTGCAGTCCCACCAGCAATGTAGGAGTGTTTCCTATCTCTTTCCGCATCACGCCCACATTTATGTTGTTTTGGGTCTTTTTGATAAAGGCCATTCTCACTGGAGATAAGTATATCTCATTGCAGTTTTGATTTGCATTTCCCTGATGAGAGATTGAGCATTTTTTTCATATGTTTGTTGGCCATTGTTCTGTCATCTTTTGAAAAGTTTCTGTTCATGTCCTTTGTCTACTTTTTGATAGGGTTGTTTGATTTTTTCTGCTGATTTTCCTGAGTCTAAATAGATTCTAGTTATAGGCCCTTTATCAGATGTGTAGCCATGCGAATATTTTCTCCCATTCTGTAGGTTATTTGCTCTGTGTGATAGTTCTTTGTGCAGAAGCTTTTTAATTTGATCATCCGGCCTCCCATTTATTTTGTTGTTGCTGTGATTGCCTTTGGGATTGTCTTCATAAATTCTTGCCTAGGCCAGTGTCTACAAGAGTTTTTTCCAACATTTCCTCAGAATTCTTACAGTTTTGTGCCTTAGATTAAGTCTGTTATCCATTGTGAGTTGATTTTTGTGAGAGGTGAAAGTATGGATCCTGTTTCAGTTTCCTACATGTGGCTGTTGAGTTTTCCCAAGCACCATTATATGTATAAGGATTTTTTCCCCCAGTGTATGTTTTGGAGAGACAGTGTTTCAATGTTTGATATTGAGTACAATTGCAATTATTATCTTCGACCAGGACCAAATTTATATCTTCAGACAGGTATACAAGGAAATCCTGCAAATAAGATAAAGAAAGCAAAGTCCCAGCAGGAAAATGTACAAAGAATATTAACAAGCAATTTATAAGAAAAGGAAACCCAAAAGCAACAAGTCTATGAAGAGTTACTCAAGGATTAGCAATCAGAAAATACAAATTAGAAACAATAAGATATCATTTCATATATTAGGTTGACACACATTAGAAAATGATAATACCAAGTGCTGGTGAAGATGGAGGGCTATAAAAACCTTTGTGCATGTATGCATACAAGCTCAAGAGTAGACCTGCTGGGTCAAAGAAAGTTTCAAACAGAGTCTATAAGAGATCATTTACAGAGGATGTTCATTGCAGCATTATTTGTGGTAGAAAGGGCATTGGAGGTAATCCAGGTGTCCAGGACACTGTAGTAGTGAAAATGTTTGAGATACAACACTCCAACACAGAACACTTTTCACACCAGCAATGTGAGGGTTTTTCCCCACCACAAAGCAGTTCTCCAGGTGACACCACTGGGGTCCAATAATTTGATTAAATTCTGACACCACCTACCTGGAGATAGCATCAGATCCCACCAGGTTGAGAACTTGGTTCTGTAAGAGCTCGCTCTTCCCCTTCATAAGCCAAATTGCAAGTAGTAAGTTGTTGCCTGTACTCCTTTTTTTTTTTTTTTTTGAGACAGAGTCCTCACTTTGTGCCCCAGCTAGAGTACCGTGGAATCAGCCTAGCTCACAGCAACCTCAAACTCCTGGGCTCAAGCAATCCTACTGCCTTAGCCTCCTGAGTAGCTGGGACTACAGGCATGCACCACTATGCCTAGCCTAATTTTTGTATTATATTTAGTTGCCAATTAATTTCTTTCTATATGGATGTAGAGACGGGTTTCACTTCTTGCTCAGGCTGGTTTCAAACTCCTGACCTTGAGCGATCTGCCCGCCTCAGCCTCCCAGAGTACTGAGATTACAGGTGTGAGCCACCGCGCACGGCCAGTCACCTGTACTTCTGACCAACCAGCCATAAATTAGTGATTCCCATGACCCTTTCCTCAAGTTCAATTAATTTGCTAGAGCAGGTCACAGAACTCAGGGAAACACTTTATTTAAGTTTACCCATTTATTAAAGAATATTTATTACAAAGGATACAGATGAACCAACAGCCAGATAGAAGAGATGCATAGGACAAGGTTTGTGGGAAGGAGAACAGAGCTTTGATGCCCTCTCTGGGCACACCCCTCTCCAGGCACCTCTACTTGTTCAGAAATATGGAAGCCCTTCAAAACTAGTCCTCTTAGATTTTTGTGGAGATTTCATTACATAGACATGATTGCATCATTGTCCATTGCTGATCAGCTCAACCTTCAGCCCCTCCGTGTGGCTGAAAGTTTCAATCCTCTAATCACAAAGTTGGTTCCCTGGCATGATCTCTCATCCTGAGGGTATCCAGGAGCTCACCAGCCATCAGTCACTTTATTAGAACAAAAGACTCTTTTATCAGTTCAGTGTCTGGAACTAGGGTCAAAGACCATATATTAGCAAGATTCTCCTAGCATCTCTGTCTAGGGGTTTTAGGAGTTCTTTGTCAGAAATATTTAAGATATGATCTATAAATATTAATATATCTAACTGGCAGTGTGATAAAAGCAAATAAAACAATTGAGGGGCACTATAGCCAACTGTGGAATTCTTAATCTCCTGTTAGGATATCTCATGGGCCATATGTGTTGTGTAAATGTAGGGACCAGATGTAGGGACCTAATAAGGAGACCCATATCAGTTTGTGTGCTGAACACGTGGGACGTTTAATTTTCTCTTTTAGTTCTAATGTATTTATTTATTTATTTTAGAGTTGGAGTCTTGCTTTGTTACCCAGGCTGGAATGCAATGGTGTGATACTTCACTGTAGCCTGGAACTCCTGAACTTAAGCAGAGTGATTCTCCTCCCCCAGCCTCCTGAGTAGATAGGACTACAGGCATGCGCCATCACATTCAGTTATTTTTTCTGAGAGATGAGGTTTTACTTCATTGCCCAGGATGGTCTTGAACCCCTAGCCTCAAGCGTTCCTCCCACCTTAGCCTCCCAAAGTACAGGAATTACAGGCATGAGCCACCATACCTGACCTAAAATGTAAATAGAAGTATACGTTCTGGTATTGTCTTCTTGCATCCCAGTTGATATTCTTGCCTTTCTGGGGGTGCATACATGTCACTTTGAAGACTGTTAGTCTCAAACACCTTTTTGGAGGTTGTTATTTGAAATCCTAAGAGATGAATCTTAAGAATTGTACATATTTTGAATCTATTCCATACATATCTCTGTGTTTTAATATATAATGTGATTTCTCCAAATTTGTGGAGAAATTTATCATTAAGTTAAAATTTACCATTCTACCAATACATGCCTTGAAAAACTCCGTAGTACACATCCATCATGACAAGCAGGTTCTTAAACTAATTTCATTGGTCAAAGATCTGACAGATCTTTGGGAATGATATTTCCTTTCTATTAACACCAAGAAACTTCACTATTCTGATTCTTCTAGGATGAGTTCCAATTTAAAATAGTCTGTTGTGAAATATATAGTTATTTTATGACACTCTGATTTTTTTTTTCTTTAACTTTACAGAGACTGTGCAGTTGATCCAACTTGTGTTTTATGCATGGAGTGCTTTTTGGGAAGTATTCACAGAGACCATCGATATAGGGTTAGTAATATTCAAATAATAACCATACTGAGTATTGAATTTTATACAAATTCTTTTCTATTTGAAACCCAAATATTTAACACTAAAATGGAGGGGAGTGGTTTAAAGAATGGGTTATTTAAATGCCGTTAAACATACGAAGACAGTGTAGAAATGAATTATGAGCCCAAACTTCCTGGAACGTATAGTTTAAAAGTGACAACACAGATATCAGCTCTTCCGTATTGGTTTTCAACTGGTTTGTTTTTGTTTTCCTATTTTTAAATGTTTATTAAAGAGGCATCTTCTACAGTGCAGGAAGGGACCCAACTCCAGCACATATGACCCGCCAATTTTATTAATTTTTCACTGCTATGATGCAGTCAGTACTATTCCAAAAATCACATATGTTTGTTTGCTTTTAAGTCAGGGATATACAGATAAAGGCAGGTTATTCCTAAGCTTGTCCGGGTTCTTCAACTGGAAATTGAAGGCAGACCATGAAGATTCAAAGGTTAGGGAACTATTGTTAGATGAAACTTTTCACTCTAATCATAAAATAGAATGGTAGAAAAGGAATATTTTATTTTTTTATTTTTTTATTTTGTTTTCATTTCTGATTTAATCAGGTAGAGAAGGAATATTTTAGTTAACTTGTTCTTAATTCAGGATCCCTGCTGAGTCAGAATTTTTCCTCCTGTTTTTTTTTTTATTCACTTTATCTAAGAATTGATAATAATGAACTAAAGAGCTATAAAATTGGGCTCCTTATATTCTTGTATGTTCTCTTTAGTCTCATAAATCAGTAAAGAGAAGCTCAGTTTCCTTTCAGCTGTTCTTCCTGTGTATGGGAACTGGAGCAAGTTATATAGGTGGGGTTGTTATTTTCCCAATGGTTGCCTACCCACGTTTCTTGACATATAGCTTTGCATCCCCTGGGAAAAATTTGTCATTTGTGGAGTTACATTAATTATATTGTGAGGAATAACACAAATATTTACTTTGGGCAGAATACATAATAGGACACATTCTAAAATTTGCTGCATCTAATGCCCATTTCTAAACTCTTATAGTATGTTAAGAAAAGAAGAATTTCTAGTCTACCCATTATTAACTAATAGGTTCTGTCATGCCAGATTTCTTGAATCATTGTCATATCTTAAGGAAATATGAATGATTCTACTTTTATATTTCCTGAGACCCTGTTAACTGTCCTTTTAGAGTGTGACTATTTAGAGAGTTTTAGAGAAGAAAAACAAACTGGAGCGCAATGGCATGACCATAGCTCGCTGCAGCCTCAAACTGCTGTGCTCATGTGATTCTCCTGCCTTATCCTCCTTGGTCACTGGAACTAGAGGCACATGCCCCACATCTAGCTAATTTTTAATTTTTGTTGTAGAGGGGGGTCTTGCTATGTTGCCCAGGCTGGTCTCAAACTCCTGGCGTCTAGCAGTCCTCCCACCTTGGCTTCTCAAAGTGCTGTGATTACAGGTATGAGCCACCATACCTAGCCTAAATAGCTCATTTTATTGTGAAATCGCTTAGATTAGTTTATAGGTTTATTTAAATTAAACTTTAAAACATTGAGAGGTTTAGCATTTTATTGAATTTTATCCCTCCAAAGAAACACCTAAGCAATGTTATTTTCCTTAGCACTTGATATTCTTATTTATTATCTCGTAGGCCTCAGTAAATACTTATTAACAAGATACTTTACAATTTTTTTCAAGATGACAACGTCAGGAGGTGGAGGTTTCTGTGACTGTGGTGACACGGAAGCTTGGAAGGAGGGTCCTTACTGTCAAAAACATGAACTTAACACCTCTGAAATTGAGGAAGAAGAGGTAAAAATATTTTCACAAAGTTGTTTTAAGGAAAGGCTGTTTAACCACAAGTTTGAAATATTTCCAGAAATAAGAATTAAGTTATAATGTGAGAGAAATAGGTAAGCAAATAGTCCTGCCACTATTAACACAAAGTGTACTTTAAAGTTCTTTACATTTTGTGGATGCTGTACCATTGCTAGTACAAACTTGAAATTTTGGAAATTTAGTTTAATTCAGATTTTTTATTATATTTGGTTGGGGTTTTGTTTTGTTTTACATATATACGGTTTTTTTAAAGTCTTAATTTATTATTGAAGGGATTATTTTCCTGTATGTGTAGTCCAGTTGACTAAGTTGGTTTTTGTATATCTGTGTTGTGACTAAGACTTTGTAGGCCAGATAACTTTCTTTTCTATTACCTTACATGGTAGCCAACCCATATCATTATCTCCTGGTTGATCCATGTCATTGAATACATGATGGGACCAAGTGTAGAGATGATAGCTCAAAACATATTATCCCTACTCCAGCTGCAAATGTGTACTTCTTAAATTGTTGATCATGTATTATTTTTCTTTAAATGATATTTCTAATGAAAATAGTGGACTAGCATAAAATAAATGCTTGAATCTCTCCTGCTTTTTCAGACTTCAAAAACTTTCTCTATAAACTCACTTAACTATAATTATACAAAGGTAAAATCTTTTGATGATATACTCCAAGAGATTATTTTTGTTATTTTTAATTGACACATAATTGTGTATATTTATGGGGTATGGTGTGATAGTCCAATACATGTATATAATGTGCAATGATCAAATTAGGGTAATTAGCATATCAATCACATCTAACATTTATTTCTTTGTGTTGGAAACACTCAAAATCAAAATCCACTCAAACTGTATAGCAAATTGTTATTAATTATGGTCACCCTATAGTGCTATGAATTACTTGAACTTATTCCTCCCATCTAGCTGTAGTTCTATATCCAAATTAACCAACTTCTAGCTATTCTTGTTCTGCTCTTTGTGACAATCTGATGTTTGATTCAAGATCCTTCTTTCAGATTTTATTATTTTTAAATGGCAGGGAGGTATATACATTCAAAGTATAATGCTTCTGTATTGTTAGTAGGCCTGATACAGATTTGGAGCAAGTGGACATTAATAGTCCTTCCTGGTGCACATACCCTATATGTCTCAAATATTTTAACAGAATGACCAAGACTTTAGGTGTGGGACAAAGTCTTTTAGACTGTGGTCTACTGAGTTTTTCAGAGATCAAAATTTATACAAAATTATTCAGTGCTGTGGAAAACACATTCATCTGCTTTGTGCAAGTGCTCTGGAATTTGCTACAGGAAGATACCAAGTAGTCAGGGTTCTAGATATTTCCCTTTATATTGGAGCGGCTTCATTTTTATCTCTTATCTATTTGATTGGAATTCTATATGTAGAATATAAAACAAAGGTATATTTGAAAAAATTGTTTAGAAAAAGATTAAAAACCACTGGTATAAAACTTTAAGACTATGAGAGAAAATATTTGCAAATCATAGATCCAGTTAGGATCTGGTATCCAGAATGTGTATCTTACAACTCAAAAATAAAAAGACAAACAGCCCAATTTAAAAATGGGCAAAGGACTTCTCCAAAGATGATACATAAATGATAAATACATAGAAAGATATTCAACATCATTGATCATTAAGGAAATGCAGATTGAAACCACAATGAGATACCACTTCACGTTCACTGGGATGGCTATTAAAAAAAAAAAAGGAAAATAAGTGTTGGTGAAGATGTAGAGAAATTAGAACCCTTGTACTTTGCTGGTGGAAATGAAAAATGATTCAGTGCCGTGGAAAACAGTTTGGCTGCCCCTCAGAATGTTAAATGTAGTGTGTTTAACATGTTAAACATTACCACATGAGCCTATAGTTTCACTCTGCTGTATACCCAAAAGAATTTAAAACAGGCCAGGCACAGTGGCTTACACCTGTAACCCTAGCACTCTTGCAGCCTGAGGGGGGGGGGGGATCACTTGAGGCCAGCAGTTTGAGGTTGCACTTCAGCCTGAGCAACATAGCAAGACCCTGTCTCTACAATAAACAGAAAACTTAGCCAGATGTGGTAGTGCATGCCCGTAGTCCCAGAGACTTGGGAGGCTGAGATAGGAGGATTGATTAAGCCCAGAAGTTTGTGTGAGCTACAATAACACCACTGCAATCTAGTCTGGGCAACAGAGTGAGACTCTGTCTTCCAGAAAAAAAAAGATATATATAAATACACACACACACACACACACACACACACGCACACGCACATGCATATTATTCAGCCATAAAAGGGAATACTACAACATTTATGAACCTCTAAAACATTAGGCTAAGTGAAAAAAGCTAGATAAGAAAGGTTACATATTATATGATTCCATTTATATGAAATATCCATAATAGATAAATCTGTAGAGAGAGAACACAGATTGGTGGTTACCAGAGAATAGGGAAAAAGAAAATGGAGAGAAACTGCTTAACAGGGACGAGGTTTTAGTCTGGAGTGATGGAAATGTTTTGGAACTAGATGATAGTAATTGGACAACATTATGAATGTACTAAATACCACTGAACTGTAGTTCACTTTAAAATGCTTAATTTTATGTTCTGTGTATTTCCTATCAATTATTTGGGAAAAAAATACTTTAGGACTTCGGTTACCTTTTTAATCCTTGTGTTAGAGTAGAATTAAAATAGTTTTCTAAGAAAAAATTTTGAATTTGCCTACAGTTCTGTTGGCTTTATCCTCATACATTAGTGAGATAGCTATCAAATAGTCCAAGCTTTGGTTAATTTCCTGAATTTTAAGGACATGCCAATAAGTTCACATGCCTAGCTGAAATCATACAGTCCTGCCTGGAGAATATATACTCCAGGAACTTAACAGAAAATAAAGCCTCCACAAACTGCCATTTAATTTCCTATTTAAGAGTTCAGTTAAGAGAAATGAAGTCTTCAAGGATAAGATATTGAAGGATAGCATTCTGTTCAGCATCCCTGGTCCCACTAACTATCATAATTTTCTTGTTATACATTCAGCCTACATCTTTAGTAAAAGCTGGAGGAAACTTAATAATATACTTCTATAGGAATACTGTTTAGGAATGCCTCAGGTCTTCTCAACTCTTAGCATTTGAGGTGGGATGTTTCTTTGTTGTATAGGAACGTGGTTCAGCAAACCTGGCCAAATCTTACCTGCAACCTGTTTCTGTCTGGCACTACCATAACGAAGAATGGTTTTTCTACTTTTAAATATTTGGAAAAAACAACAGGATAGTATTTTGTAATGTGTGAAAATTATATGAATCCATATTTCAGTGTCCATAAAATTTGTTGTTTTCTTTTTTGGAGACAAAGTTTCACTCTATTGCCCTGGCTAGAGCACAGTGGTGTCATCATATCTCACTGTACCCTCAAACTTCTGGGCTCAAGCAATCCCTATCCTCCTGCCTTAACCTCCCAGGTAGCTAGGATTATAGGCACATGCCACCACATCCAGCTAATTTTTTTGGTTTTTTTAGAGACAGGATCTGGCTCTTGCTCAAGCTGGTTCTGAACTCCTGAGCTCAAGGGATCCCCCTGCCTCGGCCTCCTAGAGCACAGGGATTATAGGCATGAGCCACTGTGCGTGGCCTGTGTCCATAAAATTTTATTAGAACACATCCATGCTTAATTTTTTATATATGTTGTCTATAGTTGCTTTCCCACTATAATGGCAAAATTGAGTGGTTACAGCAGAGACAATATATAGCCTGCAAAGACTAAAACACCATCGGACTCTTCACAGAAAGTTTGTTGATCCCAGGTATAGGCTGTATTGTGTTTAGCATACTTGATTCCCACTCACTAAGTGGCAATAGCATCTCCCACCACTATGACAACAAAAATGTCCAACCAGGTTTCCAAATGGCCCCTTGGGTGTGGGAGTAAGTAAGGAGGGTAGTAGGATATAGTATCTCTTCTAGTTGTGAACTAACACATACTATGTGTTGTCTCCTTTGTTGATATTTGTAGTAGTCCATAAGAAATTTCTCATAGGTCTCTACCTTAGGAAATGTTATGTTTTTCTTGATGTGAATCTCAGAACTGATTGTGTTTCCCTCTGTTGAGGCTTCTGGAAAAAGAGCCTAATGTTTGGAAACAGAGTCTATCTGTAGTAGCTCCATGGAAATTTATGTGATCTGAATTTATAAATAAATGTTGTCTTGACTGCAATTTATTTTCCTACCTTTATTTTCCTTTTACCTGCTTTGTACATGTATTTTTATACCACCCTACTAGATGTATTCTTTTAAGTTTTTTAAATTTTTTAGAGATGAGGGTCTTGCTATGTTTATCTAAGCTATTCTTTCATTCCTGAACCCAAGTGATCCTCCCTCTCAGCCCTCTGAGTAGCTGGGACTTAGATGTTTTCTTAAATTGCTGTCATTCCTTTTTGGAATGAAATTTAATTAAATAGCAAATTAACTGAACAACCTTAGTGAAGATTTTTATAATCTGAAGTTTTTACTTACAAATACTGCTCCTACCTCATTTGAATTCAGATCAGTAATTATTAATAGCTAGATATAATACTAAGTACTTTACTTAATCTCATTTATTAATAATTCTCAAAACAGCCTCATAAGATAGATACTGCTGTCACCAATATTTTATGGAAATTTGAGTTTTAGATTAAAACTTGACCCAAGTGTCCTTTGTAGTATTAATAAGTACTAGAACTGGGATTTAAACCTATGTAACCATTAGACTACAGTAATGAAACTTTTAATAGTACCTTATACTGGTTTTTAAAAACATTTTTAGCAGAATTTTTTAGATGAAATTCTGATACAGATTCTAATTCAATACAATATAATTCAAATTCTTAATACAATACAAATTCTAATACAAAAAATAAAACATTAAAATTGTATTGTTAATAGATTTACTATCATAAGTTGAAATGTATGTTGTTTACTTG